TGGTGTGATGGTGTGGGGACTATTATGACATGCACTTTAGTCATCCTCCGTACATCTTTAACAGCTCAACGATATGTTGATACCATCCTGTGGCCGGTTGCATTACCCTTCATGGCACGTTATCCTGGAGCCATTTTCCAACAAGATAATGCCAGGCCACATACCGCTCCCATATCCCTGGGCTGTCTGCGTGCGGTTGATACTCTTTCTTGGGCAGCAAGGTCACCAGACCTTTCACCAATCAAGCATGTCTGGGGCATGGCAGGTCGCCAGATTCAGGCATCACAAAATATCGCAGATCTGGAGAGACAACTGATGAATGCCTGGCAGAACGTGTCGCAGGATGACATTAAGAACCTCTACCACACCTTGCCTCGACGAATTCAAGCATGCATTGCCGCCAGGGGCGGTTTGACCAACTACTAATTTGAATACTCAATGGGTGATTGTCAGCTGTGAACAGGTACTATGACCTTGATTTTTTAATCATTTTATTATCTTTGTATGAGCTATGCACATATTCAATTTAATCAAAAACAACCACTTCCTTCACGGTGCTTCGATTTTTTTGCAAAAGAGTGTATATACCTCAAGCACAAATGTAAAATGAAATTTTTGCTCTTAAGATGAACATCCGCTTGAAAAAAGAACTGACACATAAACAGCGTTCATTAAAGGTATTTCGTACTGTTAGTTCGACCAAGTGGTTTGTAAGTTTGTTGATTTACGGTGCAAAACCATTTCTCAACTAAATGGAAATTACGCGACTGAAAAAGCAAACATTGAAAATAAAATTAAATTTAAAAATATACAATCCAATTGACCCGAATTAATTCGTTTGCATCAAAAACGCCTATATTTGTTTTGCTGGTATTTACCAATGAAGAGAATATACGCGAAATTCATAATGTCAGTGACTAAATTCAAAATAGCAGTAAGCGGCGCGGTGGGTGTTAAAGAAGGGCATTTTATATACATCCCAGAATAAGCGGAAAGACAAAGGGATAATCCATATAACCACTTTAAGGCATGGATTTGCATCCTGATTATTAACACGTAATATATATTATTTTCATCATCCAAAAGTACTAGAAATAATAAATACAGTATACGAAATAATTTCTCATACTTTCTAAAGGTATGCCTATAAAATTAAATAAATAAATAAATAAAGATTAAGAGCTTATTTTTATATCTTTGAAAAATGCAAATGGGTTAAAGAAAATCTCTAAAAAGAGACTATTTCTAAACTTTAATGAAATTCTTAAATCTGATTTTATTTTCAGATTATTAAGGAAAATTAATGGATAAAAAGTAATAAAGTCTGCATACTTTTAATAACTTCTGCAAAGGCTACCTTATTAGTGACTCTTAATTAACACGCCTATTTGCAAGAACTCTGAATTTCACAAAATAAAAATATAGAATATTCTAAAAATTTGCAACTGAAAAATTTTCGGCCGTCTTGTTTCGTTCTGGAGAAAGGAATTCTAACTTTTTCAATTTGCCAAGTACAGGCGCTGCACAGGTTTTGAATCGAAATTGTATACTTTCTATACTTCACTACTTCCTTGTGAAAGTGACCACTGCTTTAGCAACATTAATTTGCACTTTACAGACTGAACATTTAAGTTTGCCAATTCTCGGCGACTAAAGTTGATGGTCGCTTTAACACGGAAGTACTTCGCTGGTCTGCTTCTACTAGTCAAGAATATTTCAATCTAAGTTTAAAAACATTCATAAAAAGGGAGCACTGCACACGTAAAAATGTTGGCAGGAATTTCCCAAGGTAAGAGAAATTTGCACTATTAGATCACTTTTGACCGGCTCAATAAATAAATAAATAAACTGAAGGCTTTCAGATTTTATATTACTACCAAAGGGACGTTTTTTCCGTTTACATACACATACACGTTTTGATAGCATTTGGGCCAATGCGGCAAAAAATATTTAAAAACAGCATATCTTTAGAATTTTCGATACGCAGTCTCGCAGGCTGGAAATAAAAATGTTTCTTTCTGTACAGTGCTGCCATTGTTCGCTTTGAAATCCTTGAGTTTGTTAATAAGAAAATTCGTTAAATTTTTACAAAATAAGAAATAGACAATAAAACAAATTCAAAATTCGGGGTTCCTCGTGTTCATATTCGGGTTGGACGCTATGTTATTCAAAAGTTGATGGGGTCTAGGTACCGTTGTTTTTTCACAATGCGACAAACATGCATACATTCATGCAGATTCTTCATTATTTAAATTCTGTATGTGTATGTGGTGACAACAATTTAATGTAATATGTGGTGACAACAATTTAAACGTGATGTGCCACGGCATATCACGTTTAAATAATGCCGTTTGTAAATAATGTTTAAATAACGCCGTTTGTAAATAATTCGTTTCGTTTAAATAATGCCGTTTCGAGACTCATAGCCCTTCTGAGCTAATGCTCCCTTGGGCTAAAAAACTCCCTTTTTTGATTAATTGAGGAAGTTTAATAGCCATCAAAGTTAATTTATGATTCTGGACTGGCACATTTCTAAAATGCTTAATTTATTCAGAAAGAAAAAAGCTGCATTAAAACATTTGAAGTGGAAACATTTTCCCCCTTCCATACAAAAGAATTTTTTCCTCCACCATGTGCAACATAAATGAAATTCTGAACATGGATTTCTGAATTCTATACGTGAAGTTTTTACGTAAAAACTGAAATGAATTATTCACGATTGAGGACTGAATGTCACATTTTTACGAATTAAAACTATTACATACAAACAAATTCGAACAGCTAAGTGTTCAGAATTTTCTACCGGTTTTATCAATTACAAAAAAAAAAAAAAAAAAAAAAAAAAAAAAACCTCCCAGATGTAATTTTATCAGTCAACCAAGAATACCGTATTTATGCGAATCTAAATTTATTGAATCTTATTTTATACAACAATGGATTTGTATATGAACTATCAATTAATGGTATGATAATTTTATTTAAATTTAGATACCATATTTTATACAACCATGGATTTATACATAAAGCAGCAGAACATAGAATTAACCTATTAGTGGGCTATTGTCATGTGAAACAATCATTGTTAATTAGCACTACCGTATATACGGTATCTATCGTAAAATATGAACATGAAATAAATCGTAACATTTCTATCTAGCTAACAGTTTCTACAATCAGTGATTAATAGTAAACGTCTTTATTCACTAATGTTTTCATCACTGGAATCCTCGCAGCTCTCTTCGTCAGAAGCAGATTCATTTCTTCTTTCCTCATCATCGTCATCCTCATCCTCGGCGTTCCAGAGCACGTCATCACGTCATGTCCATCAATGCAATTTGAAAGCAGCATTTCTTGAAGATTTCAACAATATTGGTACTTCGATGCTTTTCCAGGCAGCAGAAAACCCATTGTGTGCAACAATGTGCGGTGCAGCACGCTTAATTTTTCCTGTCGGGGTCAATACACACAGTTTGGCTCACAAAACCATTTTTCGTACTCCGCCTGAACGTACCCCTTAAAAAAAGTTTATTTATACTAACGTCCAGGGGTTGTAACACAGACGTTCATCTCTCCAGGAATGATAACAAGATCACTGCCTAGGCTGTGCATCTTCTTTTTTACGTCGTCGGTGAGATGACCACGAAATGCGTTCAGGACAAAGCATTGATGGTGGATTAGAGAGCCACCGGGACGGCGTTTCCATACATTTCGGAGCCAATCAAGCATTAATGTTCCGTCATCCACCCTTCTCTTGGTTTTTTCGAATCAGGACATCATCTGGGAACAGCTTTTCATTCTTAGGGGTTTTAGGGCATGTTTTCCGTTTGATTTGGATTAAGAAAGGGGGAAAGTTTGCACCCGTCTGCTGTATTGCAGATCACTGTTACGCGTTTTTTTTTCACATCCCGAAGTTTTGATGATGATACCTTCCTTAGTCCCCTTCCGGTAATGGTGTAGTTACGAGGCATATATCAAACCAAATTGCCCGTCTCGTCAGCGTTGCCAATTTGCCCCATTGAAAAATTCTTTTCCTTCCGAAGTGTGATGACATACCGCTGAAATGTTAGTAGTTTTAGTGTTTCCCTCAAAATCTGCAGGAAGCTTTTGGCATATTGTTGTACGGCGTCTTAGAGATAAAACCCATCCGCTTCATAAACCGATCCACCCATCCACGGCTAGCCTTAAACTCTTGTTTCGGGTATTCCAAGAACTTCAGCCTCCTCTTTTGCTTTATTTCTTATGGTGTCACTAGTCACAGGTTGTCCATTCTTCCTCCTTTCGCGTACAAATTCCAAAACTTTTCTTTCAATTTTAGGGTGTCTTCCTTTGCGAGGGCCAGTGAATTTCTTTCTACTAGCTTTAGTTGCAAACAGTGCCAATTTCTGTTGCCGCCACAAGCGAACATTGCTCTCAGCTACGTTGAACTCTCTCTCTCCCTGCCTTTCTATTGCCATTTTTTTTTTCAGCATAAAGAATTACTTATGTTTGAAAGTAGCGTCATATGACATTCTTCTCTGTTTGCCCTCCATTTCGTGACTACGTACTCTGCAGTTTGTATCCTCTATGCAATAATGTGTCAACGATAAATGTATCGGTAAATGTAGTCGAGAAATTTGGTTGACGTCATCGGCGAACTTTGCACTCGAATCTAATGCGCCATCGAATCTAATGCGCACCCCAATTTTGAATACTACATTTGGCCAAAAACGATGCGCATTAGATTCGCGTAAATACGGTATTCTCGTTTCGTCATCATCGTCGAAAACAGTAATTCAGCAACTAAATTCACTTTTCTGTACCTGGTAAAACTACATAGAGTAGTAAAGAAAAGTTGCAAAAAAGTTATTATTTCTTCAGTGTATGATATAAACTTTAGTTTTCCCTTTCAATTATTCTATTAAGAGGTATGTTATTAATTCGTGTCAAAATTATAAAGTCTAGCTTCATATGACGGAGAACGCCTTCTATAAAAAATGTGAAAGAAAGGAATGTGATCATACCTGTCATTGACGAAGGAGTACATAAGTAGTCTGTCTTCAATAATCTTTTTGAACTCTGGACTTTCGTTCGCAAGATCCCGGTAGTTATCATTGGAGACGACGATTCCGTCGCTGTCAACGGCTAGACGCAAGATGTACCGGTCGTCATAGCAAACTAAACGTCGCCCACCAACGTGACGAGATGGCGTGAACACAAGAAGCCGCTCTTTTTCTAACTGAGCAAGAATTTCCTGGTCTGTTAAAAGAGAAAGGGAAATCTTATGATGGAAAATATAAAATTTTCTCACTTTCTAATTTTATATTTATAATAAAAAAATATACAAATTTGGAGCAGATGATTAATTTTCATTACCGCTAGCATATTTTAGTAAATAATATGAATTTGCACGAAAAAAAAAAAAAAGTTTAGAATGGAAAGAAAAAGACGGTGCAAATTTCATGAAAAATAGATTTTGCGAATTTAAAAAATATTCTGCAAATGTTTTAACGATACAAATTTGAATAATAATTAATTTTTTTAAATTTAGATATGGCTATATCTTTTAGTGGATATACACTTTTCGAATGTATTTTCCTTCTCATACGAATTTAATGATTGATTTACTAAAGAAATCACAGGTTATGCATAATACACGTGAATATTAACTACTTATCAGTTCAGCAAGTTTAAAAAAAATCGTCTAATTTTTTAATTAAGAAATTGAAAATTGAAAAAAGAAAAAAAAAAAAAAAAAAAAAGCTGCATTTTTCACAAAATGTAAGCGAAAATTCATTGCTGACCAAAAATAAACAGAGAGAAACATAGGAGCTGCCTTTAGCTCTTTAATGTAGGCTTTTCTCACACAATCTACTATGGATAATAAACTAATTTCACACAGATTGACATTTCGTATATAGATGCAAGTTGACGTTCCAACTTAGTGCGATATCTTTTAAAACAGGGAATAAAAATCCTCGAAAGCTTCGTGAATCTTAACATCGATTTCAGAAAAAACTAAATCACCATCCAATCGAACTTCAGCATCAGATAAAATGTAAAAATTCTCTAAATCACCATCCAATCTAACTTCAGATAAAATGTAAAAATTCGAAAAGCTTCTTGTTTCACTTAATGAATTGTAAGGTCAGAACTTCCTGGATCTATCACTAATAGAATCATCAATTTCTAATGCACAAAAAAATAAGTGCATAAACTTCATTTGCCCAGAAATTAATCTCTAATATTTGTAATCTCATTCTTCCATATAAATAAAGAAGAGTGTTCGTGTGTTTGTCTTTCATACAAGTCTACAGTTTTATCCCGATCTTGATGAAATTTGGCACATTTGACACCTTTAACATAAGGGGAAGATCATTGTCCACATAAGATTTCTCAAAGGAACCCCACGGGTTGTATTGTTACTCTGAGATATTTAGGTTTAAAATTTAATCAGAAAGCTCGGAGATATTTATGGTGGCTCACAAAAATGATCGAATACTTTGAATTTTTGTAGTCTTTAATGAACATAAAAACCAAAATAAATTAAAACAGAACGCTTTTACTTTGATTATATATAAATTCATCTTTTTTTTTATAGTAAACACATTTTTGAAAAGTTGAAAATTAAATTCAAAAATCAATATCGTTTGTTTAATGAGAAAAACTCACAAAAATAATCAGACGATAGATGATACTAGTAACATCTGAAAATGACAAAAACTTACATTGCTTTTCATTCTTAATGTCTTGTGAGATACTTGATCTACACTTGATCGCTTCATTTAATCTTTTAAGCATTGAGTTCTTTTTTTTTTTTTTTTTTTTTTTTTTTTTTTTTTTTATGCCACTCTTCTTGAATCACTGATTAACGTGTTTTTTAATTTTCGATTTTAGTTCCTGCCAAATATGTTCAATAGGATTAAGATCTGGCTATTGGGATGGTGCCTTAATTACTTCTAGACACTAATATAACAGCCAAAGTCTAATATTGTGCGCAGTAGGCTTTGGATCATTGTCCTCGTAGAATTTAAAACTATTTTGCATATTACGTTTTTGTGTTAATGATGCCAAATTTCACTTCAAGATATCAAGATACTTACACTGTCCATAATACCATCTACAAACTCTATATTAACAACACCAGAATATGCCACAGATCCCCATACCATAACTCCTAATTCACCTCATTTAACACTTGGTACTAAGTTTTACTTCCGAAATTTTCTCCATACCAGCACTCGTCCATCTGAACCGAAGATGTTAAATTTGCTTTCATCAGCAAACAACACTTTTTTCAAGTAGTCGGGTGTGTTTTGCTTCATCGATTTTGCTACATCTTCAAACAATTGATGAGGCTAGTTACTGTTCAGTCTTTAATTCAGAAAAAGCATAATTTCAAGGATTGCAGCTGCTCTGCAGATGACTACGAACAACGCCCTCCTCCATACAAAAGACATCCAGCCGATCCCCATATAAAAATAAAAATCTAAAAGAACATCGACCCAAGAAACAAAGGAATATAAGCTTATACTGATGGATCAAAAATCGAACGAAAAGTCAGACGTGCAGCATTCTTTCCAATGCAACAACATTTGGACTCTGAAATAAAGTGAAAAAGGTACTTAAACAACTTCAATAGCATACATCAAGCGAAACTCTCAGCAATAAAAGCTACAATCAACATTGCGTCAATAAATTTCTCCAAAATATCCATTAACTCTGACAGCCAAGCAACCATACTCTCCATCCGAAATCCAGACAACCGTTCTCACCTGGCCCATGAAATTAATCAAATTTCAATACTGAAATAACCATAACTTGGATCAAAGGGCACAGCGGCAACGTTGGCAGTGATACCGCCGACAATCTGACAGAAACATCAACTTTTTTCCAAAAAAGGGAGTTCGTCAACATCATGCTTCTGAAATCGCAACTACGACAAATCCTAAACAAACATCTAAGCCACGGGTGGCAAGAAGAGTGGAATAATGCTAAAACAGGCCGACGAACTCACCAGTTCTTCCCGAAAATCGGCACAGAAATCAGAAGCTCCAAGCCCTTCTTGTTCCTTATTACCTCACCGGTCATAGCCCATATCCAGATTATTTTCTTAAAAGAAACCTCTCTAATAACGACAAAGGAGTGTGGAGTCAAAGGAGATGCAAATCATCACCTGTTCTTCTGTCCTCTTTAAAGATTGGTGATATCTCAAAGCCTCCTGTATCCCAAAATCATGAAAGTACGCCAAAAGCTTAGTGCTCTAGGATTGGACCTATGCCAAGTCACACCTTAGGACCGAAAATGAAAAAGCGGAAAGAGCAATGTCTAGGCTACACCCCAATAATTCATTTCGAGCAACATTAACAATTTCCATAATGCTTCAGAACATCAAACTTATTGAGAGCATGAACTTTGGACTGAAAGATCTGAGCTCAGTAAAGTCTCACCTGTAACAAATATCCTCACACAACAAGAATAAGACTCCATATATATTAGGAAAATCAAATCCCATATGTTTATCTACTTACATAAAAATGCAAAATTTCCAGTGCAGCAATCTCCAAAATATCAGCTCTACTGTATTTGCGTAATTCAATATTTTAATGAGTATACTAAACAGTTTGTGTTATTTATGTAACTTTGCCTAATTTTATGTTATTATCATCTTATTTTTAAATGTAACAACTCCGATGTATAACTCCAGTGTTACTTACAAATAGCATATAAACATTCATACTCTAGCTGGTTAGTGTATTGGGGCAATACCTGTTCGATTCTGTAGTGAAGTTTCTGGTGCCCCATGCACTTTTACCTATTTGTGAATATGATTCTGATTCTTCTAACTCTTAATAATAGTAAAAACTCTAAAATTACTTAAATTAAGTAAGCAGACAATTTTTCTAACAGATTTCACTTTCTTTTGATGCAAATCGATTATTAATCTGCGGGTTTCTAACAATGTTTTCTTTCGTGACCGAGCCATTGCACGAAAACATTAAAATAACGAATATTTTCTAAAAAGAAAATTCGAATTATAAAAGCAAATGATTTTTAGATTTTCGCCTATTTTCTTTATTTAAACTAATTCCGTAAAAGTTCGTTTTTTATTTATTGCAGATGACTTTAATTAGAAATTATGAAAATGTCCGATTAATTCTGTGGTATCTTCCCCCCTCCCCCGTCATTTCAGCCTAAAACGTTGTTTTTTTAAATTTACTACTTATTTATTTATTTTTCAGATTTATTTAGTACAAAGAGAAAGCGAAGAAAATATGCATTCAAAAGGAAAATATTCTTTATTATTTCATTTCAAAGCTTGTCTCCCATTACTTAAAAAATTACAGTGGCCGATCAATTTTGTGAGATATTCCGAGTTGTGTTGCCGATATCTTCGAGCTGTGTTGCCACTCGAAAAAACGCAATAACTTTATTTCTCTTTCGAATTTAATAAACAAACTCAGCGATTTAAGACAAAATGTTGCCTTTGTTCAAACTGAAATACTTTTAAATGTGTTATCATTCAGCAAAGCGTAAGACGTTTAAATTTCCTTTCAAATTTCAGTTTCATTTAAGTTATTATTAATTACTAGCTGGAAACGTGAAATTACAGTAGCTGGATTTATTAAAATCATCTATATTTTTATATATATAAAGAAAAATGCCTGTTTGTTTGCGTGTGTGTAATTCATATAAATTTACACTTTTATTCCGATCTTGACTAAATTTCGCTTACTTGACCTTGAAAAAAAAGAGGAAGGTCGCTGTCTACATAAGATCTTCAAAAAACGTCCCACGGAGTTCATACTCAGAGTAGTTTACATTAGAGCGCTGCGTTCACGATACGTACTCGTCACCCCTCTTACGGCCACAATCGATATCGGTGAAATACAAGCTAAGCAAGGAATTGAAAGTTTTTTCCGACCCCCCCCCAAAAAAAAATAAATATTAATATTTCTAGGCAATTTCAACTTTGAAATCACGTCACCCATCTCAGGTTCAGTCGCCGTCGTTGTGTTCCTGTTATCCGTTTTTACTAAAACCGTTAGACAGCACCATGTTCGATAACTGTTTAAAACAACTTCCCACAACAGCGAAAAGTTTAAAGAGGATTTTAAGTACTTCCTGTATCAATTTTTCACGTTTATTTCACAAACGGCATTTGGGGGGGGGGGGAACCACTTCTCTACATCTTCCTAAATGAAGCCTCTTCATTCTGCGTAAAGCCCTGGCTACGCCGGTCAGTTCAACCAGTAAGTGATAAATTAATAAGATATCCAGCAAAATTTGCCTAAACGAAATATTCATTAAATATAATACACAATATCCAACAAAAATTCCATGCTTCGAACAAAATCAAACAGGGAAGGGTTAGAAAATTCATTCTGCGATTGATATTAATACCATCTAAGTATTTAAAAAAATTTTAAAAAAAAGATAAAATGCACGAAATACGATATTCAAGCCCTCAAAGTTTTAAAATCAAATGTCCCTGCTAAATGGCTAAGCAATATCAGAATTGCTTACTAGAAGTTCTCAACTCAATATTACTTCTTTTACTAAATTACTTAATCACATATGATCATAGTAAAGCATGAAATGCAGCCCACTTACCTTTGATAGGTGCGTCAGGTCGAGAATTCTCCTTTCTCCACCTAGGTACGAAAACTGTGATGTTTTGATGGCCCCTTGCGCGAAACCAATCCACGCAAATTTTAATACCACGACAGGAGAAGCATTCTTTATTGCCGTGACTGGGGGAGAAAAAAAATAATGCTGTGTTAGAGACTTCACGATATGATATTCTATACTTAAATTCAAATTTCAATCCACCGTTTATTAGCTGAGCATTTCATACCTGTTGCATACATTTCCCTAGATAATTTCCTGCTTAAATTTCATCTTAGCACGTATCTAATTTTCATAACATTTTCATTATCTATAAACAAATAGTGTTTTATTCAGTTGCAGATAAATCTGACACTTTGTTTTAATATGATATTTGAAAATTTTAGTGATTAGTAGAGGCGAGAAGGAAGTTATTCTACATGAAATGCAAATATCTTTTAGTAACGTGTGTTATGTTATGAAGAAAATGAAAGGTGCTTATTTGTTTTTTTCGTCCTGTGTTCTTACCTCAGATTTCTCGGTAGGATCATAAAAAATGTGTAGTTAACTGTTTGATCCGGGAATGGTCCATAGTTTTAGTTCTTATAAAGACCAGATATCATATATATGCATTTATGATTACAATTGGAAAAGCTTTTTGACATTAGGGGTAAGTAGATTACGCTTTCTGAGGTAGATCCAGCACTATCTTTGTCTCTTAGTCGATCGTGTTGTTGTCTGTATATATCTATGCTATTGACCTCTAGGATAGATCCCGTTTCCGAGGACCTGAAGAACTTTGCAGATGATATCTGGGTCGTCATTCCTCCCTTCCTTTGCGGAATAGGACTTTTTTTTTTCAAGAGAGCAAAATTTTTTCTAAGCGCACTACGACAGGTTACTCGACGCTTCAGTTTGTTTACGGAATCGCGCAATGAGTTCAGGAGGCCATTTTTGGTTGCCGAGTTAATTGTCAATTTGCCTTTTCACCTAATTCGTGTTTGAATCATCTCAAAATGAACGTAATTAGCTTCATTTGTGTAGTATTTATTATTTTTACACTTGGAAATATTTTTATAATTCGTGTTATCTGTTGTTACTATAGTTTACCACTAACAGGTTACTAGTTTCTTGGGAAGGGTTAATAAAAATTCTTCTTTTGAATGTCTTCCGGCCGACTGTTTTCTGCCGTCTCTCAGCCGGTGGTTTCCATAATTCAGTTTAATCCGTCGAGAAAAAGGGAGACAAAAAAATAATACCACATGTTATTGGAAGCTTCTAAAACTTCTTTTATTACTTTTATATTTTATTTCAAATGTTGTTGTTTTTAATCAACAGTTAATGAATTAATCTTGAAATCGGAAATATAATTTTAATGAACACTAATATTACGTATTTTAAATATTTTTTAATCTTTTAGTAGTAAAATTCTTTACAAAAGTACATTTATTTATTTTTTCGTTGCCAATGAAAGCATATCTTTTGCGATGATCTGCAGCACCTACTTATAGGGTTTGTATTTGTGGCCGCGCGAAATGCTAGGATTAATGCAACACCAAATTCAGAATGAATCAGAAAATTATATGAATAAATGGATAAATAGTATTTTTTCCCTCCTGAAATTGTATGAAAGGGGTGCTACGAAGCCTTTCGTGGGGTGTGAAAATGTCTTCATCTGATACTGATGACCTGAGATTAAGATTAAAATTTCATTTATAACAATCTTTGATCCTAATTTAAAGCCATTAAAACTATGACTTTCTATCCCCTCTCAAGAAATCTGAATTTCAAAATTTGCTAGCTGGAACAACTGCTTCCATGTCAGTGTTTTTTTAAGATACATTTTCTTAACATAGCCATAAATTATAGGAGTACCTTTTTAAAATAGAAAAGTGATCTCTCGGACTACCAGTGTTTAAAATCATTGTCATGAAATTTTTATAAAGCAAACAACGTATTTATTTATCTTTCCCCCCAAACTGAGAGGAAGGCCCATCAGTGGCCGAGTGGTAAGTATGTTAAACACTGTTAACTCGAATTGTGTTCAAATCTCAGTGAACGAGCTTCCTGCGTGGCTGTTTTCTTGTTTTTCTCCTTGTGTGATGTGAAAACGACCCTCCACATATTCATCCGTTCCCTTGGATTGAAGGCATGCCTGGATAAAAATAGTATGCTTTGCCATAATTAAAATCATCTAATCTAATCGAACTGAAAGGAAAACTGATAAATTTAACTGGGCTCGTGAGAAACGTGTTCAGATCAGTGTTCAGTTTTCGTTATAAGGTCGTTAATGGGGAACTGCCGAAAATGAGGCAGTTGCAGTGACCAGAAATAACTTCGAATATTGTCGATAATAAAACAATGATACCTGCACTTTGGAGGAAAATTCTGAACTCCTCAATAGACGTAACTTAGGCTTACAAATTGGAACGCGCTTATAAATAACACAAATACTATTGATTTGACATTATATGTAATAAACTTCAGAATTACATATATTCATCACTTTAAAAATGTTATTCTGTAAGTAAAATGATCGTATATCCTAAAGACCTTGTATCGAAGTTTGAGTATGAATGGATTTTCAATTTTTGCCGTTTTCGAAGATAACATACCAAAAGAAGCATGCATACTACACATTTTTTATGATCCTACCGAGAAATCTGAGGTAAGAACACAGGACGAAAAAAACAAATAAGCACCTTTCATTTTCTTCATAACATAACACACGTTACTAAAAGATATTTGCATTTCATGTAGAATAACTTCCTTCTCGCCTCTACTAATCACTAAAATTTTCAAATATCATATTAAAACAAAGTGTCAGATTTATCTGCAACTGAATAAAACACTATTTGTTTATAGATAATGAAAATGTTATGAAAATTAGATACGTGCTAAGTGGCTCTCTAGCACTTAAATATGACGCTATTTTTATTCCATTTTTTAACGTGGTAAATGCACAAATTCTGATCCACATCATGTTCAACTTTATTTTTGTAATTTTCAAAATTAACAGTCGTTTATTATACAGAATGTAACTACTACAATTATCTTTCATCCATACTTTTGTGCAGAAGTAACAAATTCTTCGTAACTCGAAGCTAAAATTGATAAATCATATAACTACAAATTTTGAAAGATTAATTCATATATCTCCTAATTATTTTAATTTTCATGTAGTCAGAAACAACTTCAATCTTAATAATATTAAAATTCGAGCAATAAAAATCTTTATACTCATTTCTATTTATTCGTTTTCTAGTATTTAATGAGCCTTCATTAACAAGATCAAGAAAATAACTAACAGTCACTATGGAAACCACTGGTACGGAAATTTTTACAAATGCTCGAGAAGGTTATTGAACCTCTATTTTAGTAGTCAAACAAGGCAGGAACATGCGCATTTCCCTTTAATGTAATTTACAATAAGGCTAAGCTATATGTTTAAACGCTCAGCAAGCGAGGGTTATCTGCCTAAGGATAAGATGCTTTCATGGAGAACATTCTAAGAAAAACCAACTCGTATTCACGTTGCACATAGCGAAAATATGGAAAACATACACACAAGCCAAGCCGTTGCCCAGAATTTGAACCCCTAAACTGTACCATTAATTGCAGTGCTATGTCAATTTTTACGCGACTTATTAGTTTCATGTTTTAATTAACGCTATCAAAAATACAAATATTAGTATTATCGGTCATGCCGGGAAAACCTGTAGCTCCCACTGAATTATTTCACCGAGTGCTTATTCCATATCCTAGCTATGGGCGCATTAACATAAATACCCTGAGTTTAAGAGGAAGAATTTCTCATTTCTTTATTTAAAAGGGGAATAGCGGGAGGGGGTAACGATGGATGATTTATACGATTTCCGACCGAGATCAGGTAACAAATTTGTACATTTTGTAAACATTTTGGACGCAAATGGATAGGCACAAACTCAATTATGCAATTATTTTACTCCAGTTTTGACTCATGTGCAAAATTCCAGATTTTTCAGATTAAGTATTAAAATTACTGAAAGAGAATGATGACGACTACATGAACCAACGTTTTTCACACTTTTTTGGTCACAGCTTACCCTTTTATAGCTCTATTTGGAGCCGCCCTAAACTTTTCGCATATTTGTATACATATTATAATTTAATTATTACACTCTATCGTATATAATGTGACGTACTAAGAAGGAGTCATACGAACGGGATGAAAATAGGTAGATGTGATGCACATGTATTGAAAACAAAACGCTAACATTATCATGGGCACTGAATGTTTTATTCGGGAAATACAGCTACAAGAGCATAAAAAAGTTATTAATGTCTAGCCCTGATGCAATCTGTTATCCGGCTGGGCATTGGCTCGTAAAGTTGGCGGATATTCTCCTGCCGTATTGCTTGCCATACCTGTTTGAACAAGCGACTAACTGGATCGGTGCCATTCAGAGACGAGCGGAGATGCCTTGCTCATCAGCGCCTATCCGGGCTCTGTTGGGGAGATGTCTGGCAATCGCGTCGGCCAGGGAATTTTGGAGACACATGAAGACAAGCAGTAGAAGGGCGTGCTTTGTGCGGCCGGGCATTATCCTGTTAAAATGTAAGCCCAGGACTCCGTGTAAGTAAGGGCAATACTAGGGGGAGTACAATCCCATCGAAGGACCACCGAGCCTTAAGGGTATCACGGATGACAACCAAGAAATCCGGCTATCATATGGAATCCTGACTGTCGCGCTATGTGGCGGACGGCTGTCACGTGAATATTCCACTGCTCTGTTAGACGTCTCCATATATGTCTTTGCTGGCTATCGGGGCTCAATACGAAGCGAGACTCGTCTCTGAAAACAACTCTACTTTATTCCATGAGAGCCCAAGTAGAATGCGCCTGGCACCACTGCAAAAGTAAACAGTTATTGTGCAACTGAGCAGCAGTCAGCGCAATGGCCTCCATGATTTCAGTCTTCGTTCATTGAGTCGTCTATTAATACTAGAAAGACTGAAACTTAGTATATATCTATATTGCCCAAAAGCAGTCAAAATAACTGCATTGTGAAAGAATAACTAATGTGTAAAGAAATTTGTTTAAAATTAATTTTTAATATTTACAGTTATATAACAAGTTATTAGTAAATATTAACAATAAAAATAT